CATTTCATTTTGTCATCATAGTGTAATTGATTTGAAACATGTAAACACATACTATGGTGTAACTTTTTCAATTATGTTCATGATGGTTGTATTTACTTTGAGCACTATTATACTCGTTGTTGTGATACTATACATGAAGTCCTCCACCGCCGGACGTTTCCGCCATCCTTGGTTTGGGGGTGTGACAAATTCTCACACACCATTCAAAATACCTAAAATACCCCTTGGTCAAACTTGGTCAAAGTCAACAAGTCAACAGAGTCAACCCAGCCAAGTCAACTCAGTCGAGTCGACACAGAACGCATACACAGAGCGTACTCCAAAGGTACGCGGGGCGTACCCAAACCTTGACCGCAGATGAGAGAGTTGACCTCATACGCGCTACGTATCAGGTTACGCAGGGCGTACGCCCAGGCTTCTCAAAACTTCATTAAGAGCTTAATTCCTTAAGGTCTTACGTCCAACTTTCAGATCCAAGGCTAAATTATCCTCAATAGTCATAAAGTTTCAAACTTTATGACTTTGCATGTTCATTAAGTGCTTAACTCAACATCTTAATACATTAAGACATTCTAAGGAATGCATGGAGCAAAACCAACCATTAAGACCCCATTTTTATGACTCAAGACCCTTCCTAATGACTGAAAGGACGACTTAATGGGTCAAGAACAGGCCATGCTCAAGAATCACCATTTTGGGACCAAAAAGTGACTTAAAAGAGTGAATTGTCTATATCTACAAGATGAAGTGGCAAAGTTGCAAGCTTTATACCTCCTGGAGGTTGCAAACAAGAATGAAATCCCAGATCCATAATGCTCTCGAACTCCAAGTTCTTCTCACCACCTTCGTCTTTCTCTAAGAACACTTCTGAACACTCTAAAGGCTCCAAAATGCTCTTCTTATCTTAGGGTTTGCTTGGGGATCGATTTCATAGAAAGAGGCTGAATAAGAATGAGATGTGAGACTATAATGATGCTTAAATATGAGCCAAACCCTAAAATTTAGGGTTTGCATGATCCTCACGTACGTCCTGCGTACGAGGTGTATGCCCTGCGTACGAGGTGTACCCCCAACGTACTAAGGCGCGCCCTAGTACGCTTAGCGTACACACGTACGCTCAGCGTACTCCCAAAGTCCGAAATTATCAAAATGCCACCATGGGCCCTTTTGCACTCTTTCTTTTACTTAGGGACCAATATGCAATAAATCTCAATATAAGGGTCAACAATGAAAGTACCTCAAAACAAGATGTTACAGATTGTAAGACTATGGTTGGATCATAACATTCACATGGGTTGGAATATACCCCTAGGGTTGGGTCCACTGATATGTATGGTCTATGGTATTTCGGGGAACTCACTAAGTTTTGTGCTTACAGTTTCATGATTTAATTGTTTCAGGTTTTCTAATATTCGAGGAAGGACACGGCTTGATTGCATCGCATCCATTAAAGATTTATGTATTTAATAACTCTCATGTTTATACTCTGATAGATGTTTTGAATAAGTTGGTTTTATATAGATCTTTAAAGTTGGAACTGGAGCGAATGTTTAATATTAAATGGAAAATTTTGGTTTGAAATTTGGACGTTACACTAGGGTTTATGGAGATTTAGCAAAATCAACATCAAATCTACCATGGAATGATGGATTTGAGTTACAAACCAACATAATCATCTTAATTTGATTAGAACACAAAACCCTAGTCATCAAATGAGATGAAAATCGAATTCAACTCCCAAACAAAAGGTGAAACTCGGATTTATACACAAATGGAGGAAGAAAGTATACCTTAAACCACTAAATTATTTCACAATTTTCACAAAATGAACCAAGAAAGCTTAAGATCAAATTCTAGGGTTTTCTTATGATGAAATCGACATTTCACAGACCTAGCTTCTCCTAATCGATCCCATCTCCTGAAATGAAGAGTGTAAGGCTCTTATTTAAGAAAATTTCACTTCCCACCTCTTATATTTGTGGTTTTTTTTTTTTGACAAAAATGACATAAAGTTCTAATATGTGGGATGTACCTTTGCTACTTCAATGGTATTTTGTGCATAAAAAATATAATTTAGTGATACCTTTTGTATTAAAAAAAACAAGGATATTTTTTTCAATATTTTGGAAACTTTGTTATTTTTTAAAATCATTTTCCCTATATTAAAAGAAAAAGAAGCGGGTACTCAATTTTGTTATTTGAATCTGTATAGAACATTTTTCATATATAAAGTTTTGAATAATTTGTCTTAAAAATTATTTAATTTATAAAAGTTTTGATATATGAAATTTTAGATATTTTATTTAGAAACCCCTGCCTCAACATGTACATGAATCATAATACCAACGAACATTAAAGGATCAAAAACCCTAGTTGACGAGACTACAACCGCTCCAACAGACACAATGACTTCGCCGGAGAAGCGATGCCTCTACGAAGTCCTTGGTCTCCAACGCGATTGCACCGCCGATGAAATCCGCTCGGCGTACAGAAAGCTCGCTCTCCAACGTCACCCTGACAAGCTAATCAAGTCCGGCGTCAGCGAAGCTGAAGCCACCGCTTCCTTCCAGGAGCTCGTCAATGCTTACGAGGTCCTCTCCGATGTGCGAGAGCGCACATGGTACGACTCTCACCGTTCTCAAATCCTCTTCTCCGGTTCAAACCCTAACAATTCATCCTCCGGCTCTGCTGTCGTCCCCGATCTCTTATCCTTCTTCTCAAATTCCGTTTACTCTGGATTTTCAGATAAAGGTAAGGGTTTCTATAAGGTTTACGCCGATGTGTTCGATAATATCTATCGAAACGAACTGAAATTCGCGAAGACGTTAGGGTTAGGAAATGTTGTTAAAGAGGCGCCACTGATGGGTAATTTGGATAGTCCATATGCTCAAGTGAATGCGTTTTACGGATACTGGTTAGGGTTCGTAACAGTGATGGATTTTGTTTGGGAGGATGAGTATGATGCAAATGCAGGACCGAATCGGAAGTCTCGGAGGATGATGGAGGATGAGAATAAGAAGATCAGGAAGAAGGCTAAGAGGGAGTATAACGAAACTGTTAGGGGTTTAGCAGAGTTCGTGAAGAAGAGGGATAAGAGAGTGATTGATATGCAGATGAAGAGGAATGAGGAGATTGAGAAAAAGAAAGAGGAGGAAAGGGCAAGGAAGAAAGAAATGGAGAGAGAGAAAGCAGAGAGAGCAAGGTTGTATGAGGAGCCTGATTGGGCAAAAATGGAGGATTCAGGTGAGGTGGTGGTGGAGGAGGAGGAAGAAGAAGATGAGCGGAAGAATGAGTTTTACTGTGTGGTGTGTGGGAAGAAGTTTAAAAGTGATAAACAATGGAAGAATCATGAGCAATCCAAGAAGCATAAGGAGAAAGTTGCAGAGTTGAGGGAAGCTTTTGAAGAAGAAGAAGAAGAAGAAGTTACAGTAAACAAAGATGATGATCTTGGAAGTGAAGACATTGATGATGGTGAGGTTCTTGTTGATGAGGTTGAAGAACTGAAAGAAAAGTTTGAAGATGTCATAATTGAGAAGGAAGAAACAGCTCATGATGAAGAAAAAGATGATAATGATGATAATGATGATGAAAATAGTTTAGAAGCAATGTTATCTTGGAATAAGAACAAGAAGAAGCCAAAAAAGAAAGTTTATGTTGAAGTTGAAGAGGAAGAGGTAGATTTGATGGAGTATAATAACAAGAAAGGTAGAAGAAAGAGAGGAGGCAAGAAAGATACAGCTACAAAACCAGAAGATGAAGAACAACAAAAAATGGATAAACCTGAAATAAGTGGCAATGCTGATGTGGACAACAAATCTGATGATGATGATGATGGTTCACATAGCGAGAAACCATCATCATCATCATTATCATCTCAACCTTGTGTAGAAATTGAGAACAATGGTGAAGAAGCTAATGAGCCCAATGTAAAGATAAAGGTTGCTAAACAAGCTCCTGCCTCAAAGGTTATCAATAAAAAAGAGGGGAATTCAAAAGGAAAAAACTCTACTAGAGGCAAAAAACAAAAGGTATTATTATTATTATCAGTTAAGGTTATTATTATTTTTCTATTACCAATATAATTTGTTTGGTTTTTAATATTACGTTACATAATATCTTATTACACAGGCAACATCAAGAAATTCTGGGCATGAATGTGATACTTGTGGAGTTAATTTTGATTCAAGGTATATAAAAATTTAGATTGCTACATTTTATGCCTAATATGTTGTGTTGCTGTTTGGCCTTAATATTATGGTTGTTTCCAATGTCAGGACCAAATTACATAAACATTTGAGTGACGAGGGCCATGCTGCTATCAAATCAAGATGAGTACCAATTTTGTTTACAATTTTACCCTTTTGTAGAGTAGGGTTCTATCTTGCCAGATTGGTGATAACTATATTGGAAGCTAACGGATGCTAAGTTTATTGTAGTTGTAATTGTATTGGTAATTTATATTCCAATAAAAGCTAAAATATTAAATTTTTTATAATCTTTATTTGCATCTGTTATGAATTCAGCTAATTAGTATTGTAGTTGTTTTTTTGTTTTGTTCAGAAACTAAATAACATTTGTATGTTTTGTTTTATCCAGAAACAATATTAACCAAAATCACTGGACTAAAAGTATGTTTTTAATCTTTTTGTGCATAGTGGATTGGTCATTAGAGAATGAAGTAGCAAAATACTTTTTTAATTTTTTTAAGTGCTTAGTATGTTGCTTTTTTTTTTTTTTTTTTTTGTGAATTTAACTTAGTAAATTTATAGCAACATACTTTGTTTTTTAAATACATGAAATAGCTACATACTTTGTTTGTATCTTGTAATATATATGAACACACTTTGTTTATTTTCCAGGTTGAATTAAAAAAAAGCAACCAACCAACATGTAGCGTTGCCTTTTCTTCTATTAGTCTAAATAAGTAGTTAGTTCAACCCAAAAACAACCAATTTTAAATGAAAAAACCAGAAGTTCAATCATCACAATCTCAACGGTTTTCATCACAAATTCACAATATCAATTATCATCAGTTTCGTAGGTGAAAAACAACACTACTTCCTAGAAATTTACTTAATATGATGCTTTCGGTTGGATTGGAGTGAAGTCATAAAGGTTTAGTAGATGCTTCATTTATGTAAGCAATAGCTTCATCTTCTGATAACTGCTTTCCCATTACAAGCCCTCTAATCAAAGTATCCGCATATTCTTTAGCTGGTGGACGCAATGGTATCTTCCCAGATTTAAACCCCTCAACTTGATCAACTCTACACCTGGATTTTATTTAACCAAAAAAAAACATTTAAAAAAAAAAAACCGAAAACATAATGAAAAAATTAAGCTTACGTCATTGTCAGAATTGGAACACCCTTTTCTTTTCCCAAGTAGACAACATTATGATACCAACCATCCTACACACAACAAACAAACAAATGCTGTTAACTACAAAATAAGATGAATTGTTGTTTTCATTTTCAATCGCATATATATAGATATACCTTGAGAGCTTTCAAAGAAATGTTGGTTTTGTTTTCAATGGAGTTTAAAGCGTTCAGATCGAAGAAAGGAGAAGTGGTGTCACTAGAGACATTCTCCTGAAGCAAAACATCGTTGAACTGCTCAAGACTGCATGGAAGAAATTGGAATTTCAAATTAAATAATATCCACTTTAAAAAATAAAAATGAATTTTAGTTTAGAAGTTACACACGTGATCCTATAAAGGCACATAAAGGTTTTGTCGTGATTGTTGGTTTGAGGATTAAGGAAAGCAACACCTCCGGGACCCCACGTAACTGTAGACTCTCGACCAAAGAATAAACGATGAGGAACAGTCTTCCATAACACCTCCTTTGGTTGACTTTTGTCAACAGCTCCTTTACATGGTCTTCTCATGCCTTCCACCTACAAAATTCAAATATTAAAAAAACTAAAAAAACTATACTTGGCTATGTTTGACAGAATAGCTGTTAGCTGATAACTTTAAGTCTGTAAAACTTGCTATTTACCTGGCCACCTTGTATATAACATCGGAATCTTGACTCACTCATGTTTGATCCAAAAGAGGCATACCAAACATCAACTTTCGACAGCTCAGATCTCCAATCTTCAACTTTATCTACATTTAGTTTGCAACATATTAGATTAAAAAAAACAAAAAAAATTGTAAAAAGAGATTAGAGAAATTATTAATTAGCTGGAGTACCATGAGCATCATCATCATCACTAACTTTGAGTTTAGAAAGGGGTATTGTAACATCATCATCATCATTTTCATCTTCGTACTCTGAGCTGTATGTCTACAACCACATGATGGAACATAATAAGTTTCACGAGATTTTTTTTATTTTTTTTTTTGCTGACGTCATCATCATCATCATGGATTGGGAGTGTTGATGAGGTTGCAAAAAACTTGTTGCACATGCGTACCTGAGAATCCGAGCTGGCATTCTTTTTTTTCTATAATATCATTGGTGGGACCCACTTCTGAGTGGGGTCCACACACCTGACTTCCAGTATACTGGATCGGCCACTGTAAGTATGTTCAACTTATTGGAACAGATAACTGGTAACCGTTTTATTACAACATACATCATACAATACATGGCCTCAACTCAAATCAATAAACACACTACAAAAAAGACAAAAAAATAGGGTTGAGTTACCTTAACTAGAGGTGTTACTTTACTGGTTAACTTCTCAGGTAACTTCTCTGCAAGTATCGGCCAATATGCACTCAATTCCTCGCGAACCTGAACACATATAATAAAAAAAATGAAAATTTCCCAAATTCAGAAAAAGATTAAACAAAATATAAGATTAAGATGTTTACATACCTCTTTGATTACTCTCCAAGTGGATTCAAATGGATAAATCTCAGAGGGTTCAACAATTTGTTTGTCTTCTAACAAAACTTGTACACAAGAAAGTACTGAATTTGCTATAGAGTTGAGATTGTATCCTCCTTCCAATGCCATAACTATCTTTCCATTGCTAAACTCCATCAACTAAACAAAACCATCAACCACCTTTAAATAAACCTTAACACAATTTTATGACTTATTTTGTGCTAACCTTCTTCAACAATATAGCAAAACCATGTGGTGTGATACGACAGCCTCCAAGAGGATCACCAATAGCTGTTTAAAAAAAATACAAAAATGAAAAATTATAGTCCCAAAAACATAACTTTATCATCACTGAGAGTTAGTAGAAGTGGATTGACCTGCATCAAATCCTGCTGAAACTAGACTTATATCAGGTTTAAATTCTCTTGCAACAGGGATCAATATATGGTCCCATGCTGCAATATAATCTGCATCACCACATTTTCCATTCTCCCATGGAACATTTATATTATACCCTTCACCTTCTCCCTCACCCTTCATGTCATATGATCCATCATCACCACAGGGATAAAAAGTCCCATACTCATCCCTGCATTATTTATAGTTTTTTAAACCACAAAATTTTTAATAAGAGATTATTATTAATATTGGTAACTAATCATTTACCTGTGTACAGAGAAGAACAACACTTGGGAGTCCTTATAGAAGGTCTTTTGAGTACCATTTCCATGATGAACATCCCAATCAACAATTAAAATCTTGTTGATACCTAATTCCTGCAATATACATAAGAAGAATTAATTTAGATAATTCATAAGATTGTAGTCAATGGTTGATTTGACAAACTGTATGCATCATTGCATTGAATATTGATCACTCTTACTTTTTGGTTAAGGAGAAAGCTTGTTGCAATTGCAATGTTGTTGAATAAACAGAATCCCATTGGTTCAGTTTCTTCTGCATGGTGTCCAGGAGGTCTAACAATGGCAAATGCAGAGTTTAGTTCCCCTTTTGCAACTTTTGCAGCAACCTGTTGAACAAATCATCTATTAATATGACAGTTGATTGCAGAAATGTAAATGTATAAGAGCTTAAATCAGATATGAGCTTCTTACATCAAGCACAGAGCCAGCAGCAAGATAAGCAGATTCTGATGAACCTTCATTGAAATATATTGAATTGAGTTTTGCAGCAATCCTGTCTCTTTGTGAGGCCAATTTCTTAGAGCTTATAGTCTTGATCAAATTGATGTGATTACTGGTGTGAACTGCTGCTATGTATTTATCTTCTACTTCTTTTGCATCAAAGACCACACATCTGGAGTGTACAAATGCATGCAATGTAAATCACGGATACGTCATAAAATGATTTAACCATTACTACAGATACAAAAATAGGTTTCTCGTGTTCACAAGAGAAAAAGTATTCTACCCTAGTAAAAGAATTAAAAAGAACTTTTTAGCAAGCAAGCCAGTGTTGTATTATAAATGAAGAGCATTATGATGAATAACAAAATCTAGTACTAGAAGCATAATTATGTCTCAAAATGCCGTAATTGTCAGTTTCGTGGCAAGTTATCTCTACCTGTGGATATGATCACTTATAATGATTGCTTTAATCTTCAGATATATGAATTGCAGATTTCATACAACATACAGAACGTTATGACCCGAGAACAAATTTATGTCACTTCAACACTATCTGACACCATAATTTCATCTAAAATCCCTTAAAATTACACCAAAACAAGGTTACATTTACATGTACTTAAAATATCCAGCGTGTGTGCTTGTGTAAAAGAACTCACCTCTGAGGAATTTTAGCGGACATGAGTTTGTTCCAAATAGCACGAATACGATCGGGGTTTTCGGGATGAGGTTCGCCTGTAGGTGTCGAATGCTTACACATCCGTTCATCATAGACCAGCCCCACACGACGTAGTTCTCCAGATGCCGATGATGAAACTTGAGCTCCCATTCCGTTCTCCATTGACTAAGAAATTGAAAGAGACTGATCAAACGGAGAAGAAATTGTGCGAGTTGGGTTTGAAATTTGAAAGATATTTCACGGAAGCCGTGATGGCGTCTCACCTCCCACTATTAAAAAGCTACAATCCCCAATCATGCCTGGCTCTTTTGGTATATTTGACGTCCAAAATGTGGAATTATATTAATTACCATAAATAATAATAAAAATTCAATAAATTTAACAAACATGGTATAATTCATATGATCGCAAAGAATCAGTAACAAAATTAGCAACTTATTTTTTTTAGTAAGTGCATCTTGGTATATCTTCTAATTTATTATATTAAATATTACATTGTTCTTTTTTTTTTAAAGAAGGAACAAAGTTGGTATTTAAATAAAAAAAAAAAGGAAAAGTAATTACATTATTATTATTACTATTTTTATGATTTTTGATACTTTATAATCTTTTGTTTAAAATTGAACTATCATATCATTTTATTTTGTTCAATATTTTGATCATTTATTGGGACCCATAAGATTACCCCATTTGTTATCCATTATTATGTTGAGTGAGAATTCATACACAACGACTATATCCTTCATTACAATCACCCAACAACAATGCTGATGGACATTGCCTCAACCTAAAAAACAATTCAACTTCATCCCAAAAATTCAGAGGATATCAAATCAGAGATGTCAAAATTTCGAAGGTGACGAAGGTTAATATGTTGGAATGGAGATTAAAGTTAAACATACTTCCGGTGAAAAATTAAGGGTAAAGTACACCAAACGTCCCTGGTGCATGTGCCCAAAAGCACGTTTGGTCCCTATTTTCAAAAAATTAACTCGGACTCTCATTCGTTTGGTTAAAAGTTGCACACTTCATCCATTGTTAGTTTAAATTTGCACGCTTCATCCCTTACGAGACATAAAATGACTATTATGCCCTTTTATTTCTATTCTACATATAATTTAATGTTATAATTATTATTCTTAATCTAAAAATAAAAAGAAAAATTAAAGCAACCACTGGCAGATCGAGCACACCACCTGTATCTCTCAAACACCATTATTCCATCGCCACCTTCCTAGTTCCACCCTTATTCCACCTTTCTTCTTCAATCAAACACCTTTAACCATCTTAAAACCCACCACCAACTTCCTATCTCCTCCTTTGTTGGGTTACACCACAATCAGAACACTCTTGTCGCACCTGTGTTCACCGTCGTAAACCACAACCAACACCCATTTTAAAACTTATCGGAACCACCACCCAGAAACCTAATATGGATCTTCCTTAAACAATTCCCTTTTGATGCAAAATCATACACTAAAAAGCATCCACCTCTAAACACATCACTGACACAACTGATCTATCTCTCAAAACCCTTTGTAAACTGAAGAAAATTTATCCTCCCCAGCAAATTCACATCTCGCATCGGAAATGTACCGGGTGGCATACTCAATTTCTTCAAAGTTGAAACTTTGTAATGAGTTTGATTTGGTACAAAACCCTCTAGTACCACCGAATCTAGGGTTTCGAACTGAAATAGAGGTGCAACTAGGGTTTCCAACGGAGGTGGAGGCGGAAAATAGAAGGTTCGTTCTTCTTTTTCTGTTCCATGAGGATGATGACGCAGATGAAGGGTGTTGGTAGGAGTACAGTTGAACGGTGGTGTACAGACGATGAGCGATGGCGACGATGGTTGCTCTGATGATCGCCTTGCTCCTATGGTGGTTGAAGAGGAAAGGAGCTTGGGAGTTCAAGTTGGAGCTTGGATATTTAGAGATTGTGTTCCATTTCGAGCTCATTTAAGGTAAAAAGCTCCTGCCTTGATCTTCCATGTGTTTATTCATCTTTAGGGCTTGGATTTTGGGTATATTTAGGGCTTTCTAAGCCATTTTCGGGTTGTGAAGTGTTATAGGGGGTATTGACTTCAGATCTGGGTCATTGGAGGGGTCTCATGGCATAAAGGTGCCAACTTTATGACCATGAGAGCCCCATGCATCTTTTAGACATCATTTGTAGCCCTTTAGGGCTAAAAGACCCATGCATGGACGTAAAGTTCGTAGCTTTACGTGCTATATCGGCCCTAGGAGGCCAGATCTACCTTTTGGATGAGATGAGCTTGACAGAAATCGAGTTTATGGACATGGACTTTAGTGGACTCGGCGAGTTGTTCTTGGGACTCGACGAGTCGGGTAGTGGTTCTCCAACCTTTGCTATTTTGGGGGTCTGGTTGAGTCTAGGGAAGGACTCAACAAAGATGGACGAGATTATAGACCTGGGAATCATGGGACTCGACGAGTGTTTGAGCAGACTCAGCGAGTCCAAGGCAGTCTTTCAAATCTTTGAAGATGGACTCGACGAGTTGTTCATACAACTCGGCGAGTTATAGATTGGACACATTCTTATGAGGGAGATGTACTCGACGAGTTCAAGGTCGAACTCGGCGAGTCAGATGAAAATGGTCCCGATAGTATGATTGAAGAAGAACCCGTCGAGTTCTTGCTAGACTCGACGAGTAGAGACGTGGATTGGTTTGAGTAGAGAAGTATGGACTCGACGAGTTGGTAGACCAACTAGACGAGTCAAGTCAACTGGAGGTTGACTTTGACAAAAGTTGACTTTGACCAAAGTTGACTTTAACCAAAGTTGACTTTGACCGGATTTGAGTTGACCCTGGTTAGGGTTGCAAGTACAAGTTGATAACTTGGATGGGGTTGTCGTGTAGGGATTGAGGAGTCAAGGAGAGTCGATTTTCACGCCGAGGACAGTTCGAACACTACACGACTTTGAGGTGGGTCTTCTCCTAGTAGGGGTGGGTCTACGGCCACAATGCCGGCCCACAAGTAAGAGTATTGGTTATATGATTGTCTTTGTGATAATTGTCTGGGATTGATATGTGATATGCTTACTGCGATTTATATGATTATGATTGATATGCTTACTATGCTTATTATGTGTTAGCAGTAAGAGGGGTGAAATAGCCCCGGTTACCGGTTGAAAGATACCGAAGGGGAGGTTAGTTCCCAGTTACCGGTTGAAAGATACCGAAGGGGAGGGTGGTTCCCGGTTACCGGTTGAAAGATACCGAGGGGGAGTCCAGCTCCCGGTTATGCTTGACAGTTACAGGTTGAAAGATACCGAGGGTCATGTATTATTTTGGTATGGGTAGGATGGGTGAACTCACTAAGCTTCGTGCTTACAGTTTTAGTTTTGGTTTCAGGTACCTCTTCGTCTAAGGGGAAGGAGTCGGCGGTGTAGCAGCGTATCATACACACATGGTTTCCGCATTAAGTTTCTGGGATTGTACTCTGATTTTCATTACTTATGATGATATAATTTTGAGACACGACATTATGGTTTTTTATAAGTTGATGTAATATTGACAATGTTTTGGTGAACTGTCTTATGAATTACTTAATTAAAAATGAAATTTTTGGCCTCGAAATTTGGGATGTTACAAGTTGGTATCAGAGCCTTGGTTTGAGGGATTCGGACACACCCTCAGGGGTGTCTGGACTCAAACCGAGGGATTAAAAGATTTTTCACAAAGAAAACAGTTTTCTAAAATTAAGTTAAAGAATTTTGAGAAAGAACAAGGTGTGTGATGTGTGCGAACGGCCGAGCTCAAGTAAGTTTTCCCCAAGATACCCATAGTTGTTATGCTATGTTATATGATTTATGATTATGAGAACTGCATGCTAGAATAGGGCTAAGGATATAGGAAGGATGTCTTGAATGCATGTTGTATGAGCTGTTTGCTAGGACTGTTTAGTCAGCGGTAGGATGACCTGATTAGGTTATGCTTGATGTGGTTACTCAATGCACGAATGTTGCTTGCTTTGTGCTATAGGGGTCCTGGCTAACTTTAATTAACTAGTGAGCAGATATGTAACAGTATTCGCAAGCTAGTTAGGGGAAGGTGGTAGGGACTCCTAGTGCAGCTGATGGCGGAGAGTAAAGTCGTAGGGTGCCCTAGGAAAGCCTAGGATGAGATTAGTGGAAAGGGGTATTGGTAAAGGGACTTGGTGAAGTTGAATCAATCCTTGAGGAAAGTACGGATAAATATGGAATGTAGTATGGGCCCGTACTACTGGAAGCAGAGGATCCATACTCGAGTCAAGGAGGGCCGAGATGGAACCAGGAAACTTGGATAGTGTATGAGACCTCTCGGGAGTATGTATGATCCTGAAGTTTATGTGTTTATTTTCAGTATGGTGACCACACGACATGGAGCAGGAGGTTTAGGATCCGGGTCAGGGTCAGGATCAGGCTCGGGTGTAGGATCCGAGCAGGTTGATGACGGGCTACGCGAGTTCATCGCGTCTGAGATCACGAGAGGTATCCTTGAGTCGACCCCTATCATCTTCTGGTCGATCAAGGAGGGGATTATTGAGTTGATGGAGGATCGCCTCCAGGCATTCAGGAGGGACTCGGCGTCCAGCCAGTCGGGTGTGCGCACACTGTCCTTCAAGGACTTTAGAGGGAGTGGCGCGCCGGACTTTCATGGGATGAAGGACCCCATTGCTGCCAGGAGATGGATCGCAAACATCGAGTCTGCGCAGTTGACGAGCTTCTGCCCGGAAGGGTCGAAGGTCCGTTTTGCTGCAGGTTGTTTGAGGGATCGAGCCAGAGATTGGTGGGAGTTAGTCGGGGATTCGTTGGGGGCCTCAGCCATTGAGGCTATGACTTGGTCAGATTTTGTGACCAGGTTCAGGGCCGAGTTTGCGCAGGTTGTGGAGCTTCAGCAGTTGGCCAGGGGGTTTCTGGATATGAGACAGACTATGGAGACCGTGGCGGAGATCACAGCCAAGTTCCTGGAGAGGGCCTTGTTGGTACCTCAGTATGCAGGGGATGAGGAGATGCGGAAGACCCGCTATCATGATATGTTGAGAGCCGACATTCGGGAGCATGTCAGCTATTCAGCCTGCCCGACCCTGGAGTTCATGATTGCCAGGGCGCGGGAGAGAGAGATTGATTTGGAGCACCTCAGGAAGAGGAAGTTAGAGACTGAGCAGGTTACAGGGGTTTCGGGGAAGAAACCCAAGGGATTCGACGCTAGGTCGAAGGGCCAGTAGGGTCGGGACCGCTGTGGGAAATGCGGTCGGTCACATGAGGGAGTTTACCACACTGGGTCGGGATCGGGCTGCTATAAGTGCGGCAAGACTG